TTCTATCTGGCTGGTTACAAACCCTGTGACTCCTTTTTTTTTAATCACTAATGACGTTGACCTTCGGTTCTGAAGTTAGTGGAAACAGTTGCAGAACACAGCTGGAGTCAGGATATTATTTATGTATTGATAAATGACCAGTGAACATTGGAAAACAACAAAACAGCATTACACAGAGATCACCCATCCTCTCATTCGCTCTGCTTTGCTAGTCATCCCATCTAAAACAACAAAACGTCCCTGAAGCAACTCCAAACAATTACTTTAATTCAATACTTTTCTTGTACTTTTCGATAAGCAACTGATCTCACTGCTGCAGAAAGGTTATGTGATCATGAACAGAAGGGACAGTGGCTCCTTCTATTGGGCAGCAAATAGGAATGGAGGTGAGTCCATAAAAGAGTCTGTCGGATATAATCCATGGCATGGAAAAGTTTGGGAATGCTTCTCCTATGGAGATTGTTCAGTATCTCTGTTAGATACTATAGAACAAAATGTACCTGGGATTTTACAGTAGGCTAACACATTGTTCCTGCTCTCTGTAACTTGGCCTGCACCGCAACTGAACATCTGTGTTGTGAAACTCACTTGGACTAGTTTGACACTAGTTACAGCAGGTGCAAGCTTGTAATCTTACAGCTAACACTCACATGTCACAGGTTAATTTTTAATGTTATCCTAATTGAGGCTTTTTGGCAATAGTTTGATTAAAATGAAACATGCCTGTACCCTGTACAAAGTATTTGCTTAATAGTGGACATGTTGGGAGTTTCATATAATCCAGTTTCCAGTGGTTCCCACAGCTCTGAAAAAAATCACCATTTTGTCTGAAAACTCATATGATTTGTCCCAGTGAGGAGCTGAGATGACTACTGTTATTTTAAGTTCTGAGTAACATTAATTTACCCCCTTTTTAGTGGTGCAATATGAGGAAAAACCCCAGCCAGTTCCCAGAATTGGTGTTCAAGTAAACAATCTATTAGTGACTTCCATTGATTTTTTTTGAGGTACTGAACAGTTACTTGTACTCTGTGTATCTGTAGGATAGGGTGCTGACAGACGTGCACTTAACACAGTGGAGGCCCTGTTCTGTATAGGGGCCTAGATATGAGCATAATACAAATAAATAACAACACTGCTGGGTAACTTTTACCTTTTTTTTGCCTTACTCAGGGTTGTAAATGAAGGAGGTTAATCAATTAGTCTCTAAGGTGACACACTGTCCTGCTTTCTGCCAGGACTGTAAATTAAACACATGGCTAAGGTACTGGGTCATAAATTTAATGGATGTGCAGGGTGTTAGCTGATGGTGATACAGATTACAGAGCATTTCTAAAATCAACTTTGTCTTTGATTATATATAAAATAATTCTCAGAATTAAACTATGTTTAAAAGCTGAAGCAGGTTTTTAAACATTTGTCATCTTCCTGCACTAAGGAGTGTGCCTATCTCTAGAGGGAAAAGCAAGAGGTGGGGTTAGGGAGCTGGGATTTTTAACTCTATTGAAGGGTCTGATGAAAAGATAAAGACTCACTTTGAAAAGATCAAACTAATCTCTGTCTGGCTCAGTTAGCCAGTCTGGAATATTCAGGTGATGGTACTTCCCTATCTTTGAACTGGTGTTGAGAGTTTTATTTGAAGTTTATGAAGCCCTTTGAGATTTCGTAACAAAAGGTGTTATGTCCATGTGAATCCCTTTTACTGTGAACTTTTAAAGATTATAACCTGACATATGGTAAAATACTGGCAGGCATGACAAAGTGAGGATCTGTATTAATTTTAGATACAGACATGTTTGTCTTACTGTGCTGCTGATTGCAGCTTTATCATTGAAGCTGACCATATTGTTAATCCATTTCATGAGCTATCTTGGGTACTGTCCTTCCTAAGCAGAGAATGTTAATAAAGCTACAATAAATAGAGTGGAGAACTAATGCTCTCTGCAGTACGGATTAGACTAAGGCCTCCAAGATCATATGGTTTAGGAACATAGATTAAGCTCAATCTGTTACTTGGCCAGAAATGACTTTATTTTTTCACTTGCTTGCTGAAGATTATTTGGGGGACTTCAGAGCTCATTTGACCTCCACTGTCAGAACAGCAAGGCCCACTACAATCAACCTCAATTTCATCTACTAAAAAGGATTAATTTTTCTCTGCAGCTAGTCTGGCAGGGCAAATTCATTGCTCCTGATAGTACATACAACATGGAAACAGACATGTTTGTTGTCGGTGGGCTAAGTTAAGGCCAGACTACTGGCTACTCTGGAAGACTTTTGCCTCAGTATTGTCACCATCACTGATTTCTCCTCAGAGGTAGAAATAGTGGTGAGAGCATGACTGTAGATTAGCCACTGGTATGTCAGGTAACTCAGAATTAAATAACACATTAGTTAAAATGTGGGTGGGTAAAATGAGCAGCTTCTTCTATCCAGCACTCATCATTTTTACCAGTAATGAAGCTGGACCAGAAATTTTATAGGGAAGAAACATGGATAAAGGTCTCAGAAAAAAATAGGACAAATCCATCACTGCTCTCAAAGATCAGATCATATAGTGATGGAAGCCAAAAGTATTAATAAGTTACGTACTTAAGTTCCCGGAAGGCAGGACAGACGATTGTGTAGGACAAAAAAACTGGCAGTCAAGATCTTAGAACTACTTTTGGTGGTACCAGCAACTTGGTGAATTAGAGTAGGTAGATCAGACAATGTTTTTTGTCTCAGTTTCCCCATTTATAAAACGAGCTAATGACCCAAAGTCATGTTTATAAAACAGTTTTAAGGGCTCTAACAAAGCCCTTGAAGGTGTCAGCCGTTTCTATCACTGTTTTCTAGTTTATTGCAATAAAAATGTGAGAATAATATGGTATATAAAAAGTGGGTGAATAAGTGTTCCCAACTCAGTATTTTTTCTCTCTCTAGAAAACTTTAGCTGATAAAGAGGAGCTCTCTTTTATTTGAAATATTAAGCATAAGCTCACTGACAGTCTTTTTTGTACAAAAAGAAAAAAAAATATCTGGTGAAAAGTATAAGGTGATTTGAATCCATAATTAGCTGCCAGGAAAATAGTATCCAGTGCACACATACAAGTTTTAAAGTGATGGTGTCTGACACAGCGTGAGCTGCAGCTAGCTCCTGGATTTGTTTCTTTGAAACATTGGTTAAGGAAGAAGGGGTGGATTGATCTATGAGGAGAGAGTCAAAGAGCAACAAAAAGCAGCTGTGCTAACCCTCCACAAAGAGGAAGTGGTATTACTATGGTTAAAATCCAGCATAATGGGAAGAAGAAATGAAGGGAAGGAAGCCTCTAAGGAGAGTATTAGGGAAAGCTTCTTGCTTCCCTTATGGTTCTGTAAAAAAATGTCGATATTGTGTTGAATTTAGATGCATTTCATTCTCCTGCATGATAATGCCTTGCATAAAGAAGAATAAATATCCTTTAGCGATGCAATTTGCTTTGAAGTCTCTATGCTTACATAGCTCCCAATTCTTAAAAGAGTGCAAAGCTCCTTAAAGGACCGGGTCCAGTGTGTTTGTAGGACAGGGCCAACCTGCAAATTATTAGAATAAAATATAAAGGTGAAATAGAAATGAAGTTACCACATCACTTATTTTTAAACTGTATTGAACTATTCTATTTCTTAAAGAAAGGAATAACACTGCACACATAATCACACCTGTGTGCTTCTACTTTTGTCCAATATTTCTACCTGGTTTTATTGGGTTTAGTGTATTTGTTGAAATTAGCTTGCACTCTTTTGCCATCTAAGTAATGTAATATCAGCCTTCAACTACCTGAAGAGGATAGAGTGAGATTAGTCTCAGTGATGACAGATGACAGAACAGAGAGCAAGGGTCTCAAGTTGCAGTGGGGAAGTTTAGGTTAGATACGAGGAAAACCGTTCACTAGAAGGATAGGAAAGCACTGGAGCAGGCTACCCAGAGAGCTTGTGTAATCTCCATCTTTGGAGGTTTCTAAGACTCAGCTGGACAAAGCCTTAGCTGGGATGATCTAGTTGGGGCTGCTTTGAGCAGGGGTTGGACTAGATCAGCGTTTCTCAATCTGTGGGTCAGGACCCAAAAGTGAGTTGCAACAGTATATGAAAGTATTGTGAGCAAACTTTAAAAATGGATTCTACTTTAAAGGAGAAAAACGTGGGAAACCATAGCTTTTCTCTGACAGGCTGGCAGAGTTCCAGCCTGCGAGGGGCTGCTTGGGCCCCCTTGCCCCACAAATACCCATCCTGCTCCACACACTGGTGGGGAGTGAGGGGCACTGGGTCTGGACTGCCCACTGATGTTTACAGATGGGTCCTGGTACAAAATATGTTGAGGACCATTGGACTAGATGCCCTCTGAGGTCCCTTCCAACCCTAATTTTCTATCATTCTAAGTATGAGCACCAGAAGCTGCCTCTGAGTTGGACTGGGGTCGCAAGGCTGATTGCCCCCCATCCCTTTCTGTTATTTGAGAAGCAAATCTGCTGGAGCCAGTGGCTGTCTGTAAAACCTGCAAAGCCGGAGCGCTGGGTGCAGAAGCAATTCAGGGAAAGACAAAGGCAGGACTCAGAGGGGCTGTTTCTTCCACGGGCTCCTCATTATTAACAAGTCCTGGTCTGCGATGCCAGCGAAGGCGAGGAGCTCGCTGCGGTCCCGGGCCCAGACGGAGCTCCAGACGCGCATTTTCAGCAGAGACCCTGACCAAACACAACGTGCGCCCAGCTGTTTGCACAGCCTTTCCACACCGGCTGCTCCCTGCTCAGTCTAGTTTCTGTGGCCTCCCCCCATCTCCGAGGAGATAAGACTCAGAGGCTCAGTGTCATCGGCTCCATCTGTGCGATAAAAGAAGGGGCGGGCCGGCGAGCTGCAAGGGCCTGGGGAGGCGCGGCGCCCGGGCGGGAGCTGTCACCGCGGCGGTCTTGGGTTGCACTGGCAGCCTGGGGCGGCCCTAGGGGGCCGGGGCCGGGGCCATTGCGGACGTGCCCTCCCTGCACGCTCCTGCCCGGCTCCTGCAAAGGGTTAAAGGATCCTTGCCGCAAACGTGCCGGCCGCGACGTGCAGAGCGCGGCGATGTTGCAAGCCCGTGCCGGGAGCCTGGGGACTGGGCCCTGGCGGGGGAGGGGGCAGGCGGGGCAGGGCTGGGGTGCGTGGGCCCACGCAGCCTGCAGGCAGGGGGACGCCGCTGCGACCCTCGGGGGGGGAAGAGCCTCCCAGGTGCGGGCCACTAGGCAGCAGCTCTGGGGGTCACGGCAAAGCAAGGTCCTTCCTCTCTGGGCTTCTGGTCCCTCGCGGCAGCGAGCGCGGGGGTGCTGGCTGTGTAATGCCGCACAGCCCCGAGCCCGAGCAGAGCTGGCTGCTGCAGGCAGACTTCTGGGCCTGCGCTGAGCCAGCCCTGGGCACTGCTGCTGGAGAGCTTCCCTGTCCCTTGGCTTGCAAGTTGGTTGTTAAGTTGTAACACAGCTAGAAATAGCAGAGATTTGGCTAACGTTTTCCCATGTTGCTGTCACTGACCCCAAGGCTTGGCGTGCTCCTGACTGTAGGGGAAGGGGTGTCCATGAAACGCAGTTCACGCGATAATGTTTGGAACCGCCAGGAGCCCAGAGCGTGTGTGTGGTAGGGCGGGTTGGGGAAGGAATCATACAGACCCCAAAAGACAGTCTATACAGGGTACTGTATGTAGCCTAAGGCTTTGAATGGCAGGATCCTGTGTAGCACCACATGCCTGTTACAAGGAGAACAGGACACATGGGGCGAGAGAGGTGTCCAGCTGCCAAGCTGGAGAGGGAAGGAAGCCCAAGTACCAGAGAGTGGATTTGTGAGGAGAGCCTGTCAGATGGAGAGAAGGTTGTGCGCGGTGCTTTAAAATGACAGAAGATGAAGATCGCGGTGCTTTAAAATGACGGAAGATGAAGATCTAGGGAAAATGGACTTGGAGAGAGAGAGAGTGGGTGGGTACAGATTGGTGCACTGGGCATATAGAGGTGGAATATGGTAAGAGACGCAGCAAGGAATAGAGAGAGACCCAAGAGAGGATGTGGGAACAGTAAAGTACATACTAAAGAGGAGGGATGAGAAATAAAGAGGAAATTGAAAGTGAGAGAGACAATTAAAAAATGAAAGGGCAATAAATGGAAAAAACCAAGAAATTCCCCAGACTGCTTGGAGTCTGGTCTTTTCTTTGTTTTTTTGTTTTTTTTTTCTTTGCTATATTCTTATTTCTCCCACTTCTGTGCATCTTTAGATTTTTACAGGCCTTGGTGCCATTTAAACTTTGAACTTGTTTCTAAACCTCAAGCCTTAAATTGGCACTGAGCAGAAGTTTGAAATATCCACCACTGTCTTCCACCTCCAAATTAAGAAGATTCAGAGGGAAATAAAAACAAGGGGAAGGCCAGGGTCAGTTTGCCAGGTGCAAGCCTGAAGGGAGATAGCCTGCTCAACCAGTCTTCATGAATACTAATGTCTCAAAGCCAGTTCACCAGCAAAATCCCTAGGATCATCCAAACAGGGAAAGGTAAGAGCATTTCTTTGTTATGTTAGCTGCTTTGTGAGTGCTTAAATTGTTTCGGGCACTGTGGCTAAATTGGTGTGGTTTTAGTGTCTAGCTGCATTTTCTTATCAGCACTGAACCGAGTCTGACCTTGTTGCGGCATAGCAGGGTCATCGTGTTTCTTGGTTGGACCATGTTCCAGGGAAGACATGATAAACCAGAGGTCAAAGAGTGGGTGGGAGGGAAAAAGTGGAGGTATATTTTTTTTAATTCCCCTCCCCCCATCCCCCAACTTAAGCACTGTGCACTCAAGATGACTAAATGAGATACCACTTGCCTTGGCTTGCGCATATCTTCATAACATTTCTTTCCTTTATTTTAATCAGCAGTGATACATTGTCACTTTGCCAAATCACGGTAAGGCTTCAGAACCAACACAATTGACATGAACAGGGTATTTCATGTTTCTCAGAGCCATAATTTCAGGCAGTTTAGCATTAGGTGAATGTTACTGCATTGGTTACACTTGGTTCCTGTTTTGGAGCATTATTTCCACAAGTGTAAGGGCTAGGAGACTTAACAAATATTTTAAATGTAAGCTTAAATTCTGGAGTGTGAATTGAAGCCAACAGGGAGAAGTACAGGGAGGGGGCAGCCTTTGGAGTCATTAAAAATATCCCAGAATGAGTGTGTTAGCTCTTTATGTTCTGACCAAATTCTAGTTTCTCTGATTTCCAGTTGGGTATCTTAAGGTTGACCTTGTGGAATAGGATACAGGATTAGGAGTTCAGAGACCTTTTTTTTTTTTTTTTTTTCTGTTCAGGATCTGCCACTGGTTCATAAGCAAATTGCTTAATCTCTTGGTAGCTCAGTTTCTACATCTGTGAAACAGGAATACTAATATTCATGGTGTGGTCTGAGAGGTGAAATTTGTTAATATATGTGAAATGCTTTGTGATCCTCCATGGAAGGTGCTATAGAAGTACAAACTATTGTTGTTAAACTTCCTCTGCAGTTTCATCTGAATAAAGTCATTCCCAATTCTCCATACTAATTAAGGGCTATTGTGGTTCATCCTAGAGGTGGCTGTATATCAGAGATAATTGAAATACTACACAGTGATTAGGTCCTAAACTTGCAGCATTCTTCTGGGGGATGCTGAATGTTAACCTCTTATTTAAGTTAGGGGGAGCTGGGGATGCTCAGTACTTTTCAAGATCAAGTTTAGGAGTTAATGGTCAAATTGAGTCAAGATAGTTTGTATTTGATCTCTAAAACCGTAGCTCTTTGGAAAGATTCAGGCTTGATATGAGTATATTGGAATGATTGCTGGTTCTATAATCTCCCCCCTGGGAATTATAGCTGTGGTTCTGTGTGATTGTTGCTTGGTGTTGGAGTTCCTAGTTTTCAGTTTCTCCTTTTGGACTTAGTTTTCAGTGAACACCTGGGTGAGGGCAGCTGTTCTTACTTCATAGTTCAGTTAGTGCATGCTTCCAGCGCCAGGCTGTAGAATTGTTGTTGTCTCTTTTAGCTAATGCTCCTTGGACCTCAGAAAAATAAGGCTGGTTAGGACCTAAGGAAGTCATCTAGTCCAACCCTCTGCTCGAGGCAGGGTCATTCTTGCATCAGTTACACAGAAGCCAGTAAGGTTCCCTGAAAGTAACAACATAGGGTTTGTTCTACCAAAAATCTGTAAATGTTAAGGAATTGGGTATAAGTAATATTGCAGTAAATATGACAATGGCTGCTCTCTCTCCTTGGTCAGATGAGGAATTAATTCCAGCTCCCTGTTTTGCACTGGATTTTGTGTTAACAGCCTGTTGATTCCCTGTTGGAGTATTTTCCTTCTGGAAGGAGGGTAATTATTTGCACATGGACCAAATACAGCCCCTGTGCCTGACCCTGACACTGCCACGAATGCTTCATTGGAATGCTGTTCCCCGATGCTCCATAATATACGCATAGTCTAAGACTCGGCCTTTCCAACCTTTTCCACTCCTCCTAGTTTCTGTGTGTAGAAATGAACCAGTGATGCTTATTAGCTCCTTCTCCTTTATTCTGAAAGAGTGCCTTGTTCTGGGGAGCCCGAGAGAGACAGATCACCTTGAGGCTTGAGGTTTAAAAGCAGAGCGATTTAATTTGGATGGGGTTAAGGGATTGGAGTGGCACTTGGAGCAGGGCTTAACGTGTGGCAGGTCTGCCAAAAAGATGGCCCCAGCTGCTGTAGTTACATGCATAGTGCTTAGATCCAGGGACTGGGGAGATTTAGAAACTCTAGTAGAGTGTGCAGCCCAAGAGCACTAGGACCCTGCTGTCTCCCTGGCTGCATGCAGCAGAGTGCCTTTGCTCTGCCTTCAGTACAACCGGTTCTACAGCAGCTGCAAGTAGCAAGCAAACAATCCCACTCTGGTTCAAGTCAGCTAAACAGAAAACATCCATTGGCTTAAATGAAAGCACAAATGGGTCCAGAAGCAACAAGAAAGCTCAATCCTAATGGGGGCTGCAGCTCAGAAGGCATTTATAGAATAGCTGTCCCCCAAATTCTGTTCAGATGCTGCAGAGCTGCCTTGCACACCCCATTAGAGGAGCAAGACTACTCTTTTTACCAGGCATGAAGAGCTGGGCTCTTTTGTTTATGGTATGAGTAGTTGTCAGCCCCGTGGAGGGAAGAAGGCAAGGAGATGGAGACCCAGTTATTTTCCTAGATGCATCTTTATAGTGCCTGAATCTTTTATTATGTTGATGCTGAATAAGAAAAATATATATAGCACTAGTAGGTGAGGTTGGAATTTTTTTTCTTTCAGGGTGGAAAATTTTTTTGTTCTGATTAGACTGGGTTATAAACAGACATTCAAATCTTAAAGAAGGCAGCATGTTGCCTTCTAGAATTTGACAAATTACCTGGTAGGAACATTTGAGTTCTTATGATTTAGTAACAGGATTAAAGAGCAGATGCAGAGGGAACATGAATGGAGGCAATACTTGCTGCACTGACTTTTCTAAACTTCTCCCGACAAGCAGCTTTTCTGTAGCTGTCAAGGAAATCATCCACAGTTACAACTGTGGAAGCTTCAAGCAGAGAGAGCCATTTAAGGTATATCAAGTATATATGGGCTCCTTTGTTTTGTTCTATTTTGGATTTGCAATCTCAGATTATGATGCGACTTTCTCAGTTGATGGAGATTTCACAACGGTTGTCTAACAGCTGTTCCCCATCTGTGGTATGGGTACCACCAGTGGTACGCAGGCAACTTGTCAGTGGTACGCATTAACAGATTTATTATAATTACTTTAATATGACAAAAATGTGCTGGTGGTACTTAAGGTTGTATCATTCTAAATTGGTGGTGCGCAATCTGTCAGAGTTGGGGAACCACTAGTATATATAGGCTAGCTAGCATCTCTCTCTGGCCTTATCTACATAGGTCACTCAACAGGGTTAGGAGGAATTGCCTAAAGGCAAGTTGATGCTCACCTGAAGCATGGGGAGGCTTTCATTCAGGGGCAAAGTGGCCTTGAACTTCCTCTACATTACAAAGCCATCAGAGCGTTGTCAATTAGGGATGTGAAAGGATCATACCAGTAGCTGTAGCTGATGCAATTCTGCTAGGGAAAACTTGGCATGGACTGGGCTCAGCCAGCAGAGGACTGCTGCAGGTTGAGCTGCTGTGGTTCAGGGGAGCTGCTATAATTTTTGGTGGCAGAAAAACTGCTGCCAGCAGTACTGCACCCATCCTAAGGAGCTCCTTTGCTGTAATTAACAGCATCAGCAGCCCTTTCATATAGACAGATCCTGATATCCTCAGTGTAGCTTATTGCATCTATATAATATGAGCTGAAACCAGCCCCTTTCTTCTCTGGGACGTTCACCTTGTTCTAGATTGGAAGCCTAAGGAACCCATCTTCTGTCCTTTCAAACCCTGCTTCATAGCAACTGTCCTTGCAGCCAAGTAAAGGGTACTGCTGGAGATAGCTAGCAATTTGTCACCCTCGGGATGAAAGAATTGCTCTGTAGTGGGTGACTTGAGTGCACCTACCCAGCTTTGGTGGGCAAGAGTATGGGTTGTGTCTATTTGGCCTTGACTTCTGGCTCCAGATTGATTTGGGAGGATTTTTGTACGAAAAAAAAATCCATCTGCTTGTGAATATCTGTCCCAAGAAGCCATCTTATCTTTGTGTGGTGTGGCTTTGCCCTTCCCTCCCCCATCTACTCTGCTCCTCACTCCAGGTTCTGTTGTTCATTCCCCCTTCCTGTCATATTTGCTTTTCTTTCTACCACCAGACCCCATTCTGTCACATCTTTATGTCACCCCCCCTCCCCCTTGGTCTCTGTCACATCTCCTCCTCATCTTTTGTTCTGCTTCTCCTTTTAATGCTGAATCCTCCTATCCAAAACAAGATTTTCTGTTTCTGGAGTGCTGCTATCTTAGACCAGTGTCACACTCTGAACTTGGTGTTTTCGGCACAAGTCTCTGCTGCTTTAGCTGAACGAGTATCTCAGCTGTTTGTAATAAAGATTTTCTCCTCTGGGAGTGGGGACAGCCATCAGAAAAATACCTGAATGATGATGTACTCTAGGCCAGAGGTGTCAAACTGATCTGACCCTATGGGCTGGATGAAGGTCACTGGGCTGATCTACCCCCTGTGCAGTGCCCATGGTGCAGATCAGCCCGCGTACCATATACAGCACATGTCAGCCACAGGGTAGGTCACTGTACACATGGCATGCAGGGCTAACATGGGGTGTGTACTACATGTGGGCCCTGCTGCACCAGCCTTTCATGCTACCTCTAGTACAGTCCAATTCAGACCGGCCATGGAAGCACTGTGGAACCAGCTGGGGGTAGCTCATGGATCGTGTGTTTGAAACCCCTGCTCTAAGCCAGTAGTGCTCAATCTTTTGGCCCTGTGGGTGGGCAAGTAGTGCAGGCCTGGCCTGTGGGCTGGATTGGGCCCTGTGTGCTACGATCAGGCCCCAAACTGTTTCTGGGCCCATGCCACCCCACCCCACAATGTCCCACTCA